TAGCTGATAGAACTTAGGCTTTCGATATGTAAACACCTTAACTTTGTCTTGATTTGTTTGGTTTCAGTGAAGGAGCTGTGTGTGGTGTATCGATTGGACTGCTCCAGTATTGTATCCGAATGGGTCGCTTACTCCATCAGTCGGAACGACCAAAAGATGACAGTGGAAAGTCTGGAAGAAATGGAACAAGATGTAAGTATGTGGTGTTGAATATTCAAATGGATAATGAATGCGTCATCCCGTGACAGGTGAAATGTTTCATTTCACGTGGTGAATACCATTGTACAAATATGAAACATTCATTATTTGATTTATACAATACTTGCATAAATCCTCTTATATTAGGAAAACAAATGGTCTCCTCGTCTTGATATCTGCCATTTTGTAAAACAGATTTATGTCTGAAATGCCACTGACAAGGACCGGTACTAGTACTGTGCAATGTTAGACTTGTTTTTGTCCCTAATCTATTTTCCTTTTTCTTACTGGGACTGAAATATATGAAATGGTGGCAGGAGCCAGTCAAGTGAAATTAAGCCCAATTAACAGGCATCATGAAATATAATGAATGATTCAATAAAATGTGATCAAGGATCCACCAATCAGATGATGGGGATTTACATGTATGCAGGTGTTGTGTAATACAGACTATAGCGCTGGAATAACACAGGATACTAGATGCAATTTGGTACATCGATGCTGTACCTTGTCATCCTCAATTTTTGTTGTACATTTGAAGTACTTTCAAGGCTACATGTACATCATAAATGTTTCAAGATGCTGTGTTCCTTCATGTATCAACTACTACCCAATTTATGTAATGAAATTTGTTCAATACGAGTGGATTTTTAAAAAAAAAGCCTCTTTTTTATGCTCAAATTTTTAGAGAATTAGCAAGAAAAAGAAGAAAATTGCCAAAACCCCAACTGTGACCAGTCCAGCACTTTTCTCTTCTGATCCAATCGCTGAGGAATCTGATGATCTACTGAGTGCCTATACCCCCGCTGGAAAGGTAAGAGTAGTGAGTTCCAATGATCCTTGATTTGCATACGAGTAGCTATCCCCTTACAGTAAGCCTATGCTCATGTCAAGTTTAAGTATTTGAGATGGTTTATAACAACCAAATTGCCATAGAGAATAATTGAAATAATTAAAAAACCAGTTTGTAGTCAGTACGTATGGACATTGTCCACAAATGAGGTTTTCTAGGGTGTCTGGTGTTTATACTTTTCCTTTTGCTGGCACAGTCATACCTACTGAAGTGCAGCAAGTGTGAAATCTGTCACTTGGGTCAAAAATATGTGACACTTATGATTTACATATTTATGCAGAAATTTCTGTCCACACAAAATAGCATCCAGTTTTCATAAAAAACAGAAAGGGTTAAAAGAGTGCTCCACGTTACTGAAGTAGTTTGGTTGAAACTTTTGTAATGAATGGCATATTTGTCAAACATGTTCACAGAGTAAACACAAGCGACTTCATACTACACCAGAGAATCCTCCTAATAAGAGACTGCAGGGTGTACATCGCCATGGCAATATTCCATTCTCACCTGCCAGTTTCTCTCCACCAGTTGTGTAAGTATACAAACTGTAACAGCCAACAGAAAAAAAGATTGATATAGGTCCAACCTGTGACTCAGCTGAAAGATGGTAGAGTTGGAAAGTAAAGCTTTTGCAATTTTGTGGAGGATAAGCATGGAATCCCTTAAAAGCCATGGGTCATGGCTTGATGGTATGGCAAATGTCACTCCTTGACATTGTCGTTGGGTTTAAAATAGTAACTATGGCAAGAACTTGTTCAAGAACAGCTCCTTGTGGAATAATACCTTTGACAAGTGACTACATTGCTCTTGATTTATGGTTATTTACTGCAGTATTTGCCATGGAAGTAGATATAAATTGATTGGAATCATTCAAATAAAGTTATTTACACATTTTTGTACGTTTTGAGTTTTTAGATGCCATGTGGTTCTAAATTTTCTCTGTCACATATTTTCCTAAACTGTGCTTTACTAGGGCAACTCCATCCCAGAAGTACAGCAGTCGAAGCAATCAGTATGAGGTGGTAGCAAGTTATGGTCCAACTAGTCGCACATCTTGGAAAGGAACAAATGCTCAGACATGTTCAGTGCAGTACTTCGATGAAGACAGTGCTCTCAAAAAGAATTACAAGTATATGTTCCATAAATTCACCGACAAAGCCAGTGGTAAATGAAGATTTCTAAATATTTGTTTACCTTACGTAGTAATCACCACCCTCTCTTCCCTATTAAAAAGAAAAATACAGATTGCAGAAAAAGGTATAGACAAAGACATGCCAGTTGAATCAATTGTGAATTTTGAACCTAAACCACTCAGAGTTTGTGAAAGGTTACATTCCATTTGAACAATTAGGACTATGAAGCATGATTGAGCTTTTTGGTTGCTTATATGTAATGGTCATCCCAAAAATGATTAAGAAATGCCTAAACATGCTATGTATTCAACTTGTTAATTAATCCAGGGAATTCCTTGTGAATAATCCGGGTGCTAATTGTGTGCGATATCAGGGGTGTAAGAATACAGCTTTTTAGCTGATTTTGGGGTTTTTTTGTTTAGATGTTGACCCTGCATTTCACCTGGTATGTACAAAAGTATGGGAACCTTTTACATTTCTGCTTTAATTTTACGTGACCACTTGCACCCCTTCATTATGTTTGTCCATCTCGTGTGAATGTACCACAAGGCAAATTGAAGTATAGATGGCATTATCGAGGGAAAAGAACGGATCAAAGCAAGATGAAAAAACAAGCCGTAGAGTTTTGCAAATGCATAGATGGAAAGCCTGCATGATTACGGGAACTTTTTCATGTCACAATAATACTGACACACTGATGTACATACATTTTTCCTGTGTACCTAAAATTTGAGGCAAAATGGTCAGCCCATGTTTGATTTTCAAGCGATTAAAACTATTCCCTGGTTTGGGTTTTTTTTTTGCTTTGTTTACAGTTCTGAATGATATGATAGAAAGTATGGCACAACAACTCCAAGAAACACATGGAATAGAAAGTTTCTCTCATCTTGCACTTCCTATCCAGGTATTAACTTTATTATTTATCATTTCTGGTAATGACACCAAGGATTCCTCAAAAGGTCCCCAGGCACTGTAGCTTGCAAGACTGAACAATCTATTAGAGAGGAGACAATGAGAAGCAGGTACAGTTTTAGAGGTGGGAGGAAAACCCTGAGGAATATTCTGGGTAAAATTCACAAAATCAGGTAGGGACTGAAAACCCAATCCACATGTGGACCGGGCCGTGAATTGAACCTTGGCCACAGAGGTGGAAGGCAAGGAATGAACCACCTCACCAACCTGACTCCCTTAAAGGTAGGTTGATGTCAAATGACATCATCAGATATACCAGATAATATGGCCTGAAATACGCATTACTCGGGAACAAAACTTAGAAGTCTTGTACCTTAAGTGTTTCACAAATTGAAATTAAGGCTTTTTCTATGGACTCTATGGATTCTTTAAGCTGAAATGTTGTATGGTGTATCATATTACTGCACATTCATGTGATGACCATTCTACAAAAAAATTGATGTCTGAAGTTTTACCTTTGAAATCAACTTGGGTCTGGTAGTCACTGAAAAAAATACCATAAGGGAATTGAGCAGCAAAAGATTCCTTTTCAAATCAGAGGATTGTTATTTGAATGCATTCAATTCCTTGTACTTACATGTTGGAAACTTAAACTAGTTGTATCTCCCAGTGCTGGTCAGGTCTGAGACAAAAAGACAACTTGGGTTGTGACAAGAGTGTTCAATGGTGTGCAAGACAGGGTTGAAGGGAGATTGAATGACCTTGCCGTGTCGCAATCTATGGATGAGAATGTGTTGAGATGAGTCCAGTTTCACTCTCGGGAACACATCTTGCTGGTCTTACTATTGAGCTTCAATCTAAAGGCTTAATTACCAGCTGTTGATATCACCCTTTGTTTTTTGTTTGATAGGAATCAGTCACAGTCGTCGGTCGTGTCTGTTGTGACACCAGCAACGGTCGTCTCAATGCCCAGTCTGTTCTCCTTGAAGGATCTGTTGAAACTTCCTCTGGCAAGCAAGTAATGCTGAGTCTATCAAACATCAAGGAGTTCTCGTTATTTCCTGGACAGATCATCACATTGGATGGCATCAATAGTACAGGTGTCAAGTTGGTGGCTTCAAAAATCTATGAGGTTAGTCAAGCAAGCACTTTGTTCAAAAATTTTAGTCTCAAGTTGGGCTTCGTATTTTTGCACTGTAACCCTATTTTTCACCCAGTTACTTTTATTCTTATGACAGGTTTTGTGTCTGGTCAGGTGTCTGATTGCAGGGTTTCCCCTTCCTATTCAACTGTGAGGCAACCCATCTCACAGATTTTAGTGACCACCTCAGGCTTTTCTGTTGAATTTTACTTCCTTACACTTAAAATAGACGAAGATGGAAGGAAAACCAAAGTAATTTAGATATTTTGACATACATCAGTTTCAATCATACGGAATGGTAGAGAGGAACACAGAATACAAGATTGTTTTATATTAGTGTGGAATTTGAGAGTGAATATGCTGTTATACTATACATAATTTATTGAGGCCGTCTGAAAACACTCACTTTTGTTTTAGGTGCTAGAATATTGGCAAAATCTCCTCAAACATATCAGTACTCAAGGGGTAACCCTGTCTGGTTGTACATTGGTGTCAATCACATCGTGATGTGTACGTATGCTCCGCAAATTAGGTCATGTTTGCTACTCCCTCGGCACCTCTTACATGTACATCAATAGACCCCTCTCATGTTACCTACCATTTCTGTGGATGGCCAAAATTTTCAGATATATCACCCTTGATTGGTTCCAGGATTTGCCTGTAAAAGTATATCTGCCCCATTACTTTTAAAAAGGGTCATATTTTGCCTGAGATTTTCCAACAATGATTGCACTGATGGCCAGCTGTAAATTTACCCGCCACTGGTTGGTAATAATTTGACTGTGACATAATCAGAGAAAGATTAACATGAGGAAATGCTGAGGGACTGAGTGGGCTATTTTCAAGAATGCTGTTGGAAAGGTAAGAATCAATCATATGGCATTGGTTTCGAGTGATCCTGACATTTATTGTCATTTCTTTGCACAGAGTATTGCCCTGCCTTTGAACCAGTCAGAAGATACCTCACTAGCAGACTATGGTCCATTACATGTGATGACAGCTGGTGGGCCATACACAACGGTCGATACACTTAGCTATGAGCCTTTCGATGACCTGATACGGGTAATGGTGCAAGAAACACCTGATGTTTGTATTCTTGTAAGTAAACATTCTTCTTGTATAGAACTACTGAAGAACTGAAATCTTACTACTCTTCAGGTCCCAACTTTATAAACCAAAGCACAACAAGACCAGTTGCCCTCCTCCAATTCGGTGTAGTTTTCCACTCCTCATGTCGCCAATAAATTTGCATGGTAGCCAGAATATCTGATAACATGCCAGCAAATGTACCATATGTGAAATTTAAATCTGTTAAATTAAATTAGAAAAAGTATTGACAGTAGCCGGACCTGAATGAGTAAACATCCAGAAATGTTTTTCTATCAACTGAGCTAGTCTGCCCCTGTCTCCTACAGCCTAATTTCAAGGAGCAAGTGTTTGACAATCAAGTTGCTGTTTTCTGGTTTTCTTTCAACAGTTTGGTCCATTTGTTGATGCCAACCATGCCAAAATAAAGGTAGATTCTAATTTTAATCCTAAAAGAGCTGAGGGAGGGAGGATTTTTTCCAGTATTACCTCGGTGTATATTTTCACGAGCCAAAACTTTTTTCAGTAACTGTGGGCATTGTGACACCAATTTTGTGAAAATCAAGCTTGCCGTTCTCAGGCAGTACCCAATATTCCAAGACAGGTCAGTGGAAAATGTATATACAATGCTGTGCTTAATGCACACAGGGTGGCACTTGTGTGGCTTTGATCTTCAAATGATTGAAGTTGAAACTTCATATTTGTGCTGTTAAGGAGCGTTTTTCCACGCAGTTTAACAGAAAGTGGGAACGGGATAGCCTACGTGTAGTCCTGCAGGGTGGTTCCCCCCCAATGGTGAGATGGTCCAAAATAACCAGCTCTTTCTAATAAGGTTTCGAAAAAAAAAAAGTGAATTCATTTGAATGATTTTTTATAGAATGAATTCAGTTGTAGAAGGCTTGTATTTGTTGACAGTTTGGTTTCTTGGCATTAGGATTACACTCAAGATCCTGCGGATCTCTTCAAGATACAAATGATGAAACTTGTGGAGGCCACAAAAAAGTAAGTATGAGAACATTCTCAAGTTACCTGGTTAGTGCACTACGTGTGGGAA